AGCTTTTCTTTGGAGATATTTAAAAGTTGAATTTGTGTTTGATGTTGTGGTCCTTTGGTGTTTGTATGGAATCTGATCCTCTTAATATGTAACACTAATTATAAATCCTTTTCAACCTGAGTCAATTTCAGAGTAATAGAACAATGGGAGATCATATGTTTTGGAATCCTAAAGTCCAGTTTGAAGTCCAGTTTGTTTATGTACTAAAATGACATAAGTCATGTTACATACTTTCTGTGATCATTAGGTGCCCCCTTCCAGGCTTTGCTGAATTCTTCAAAAGATAGTATCTAGCATATGCTAGATTCTGAGTGTTAGTTCCCTGTCCTGCTTCCCTGAAGCCCTCCACCAAAAAGTAATTTGTTATGTTAACTTAAGACATACACTAAAATAAATATAATAGGATTCTTTTCAAAATCACTCTATAATTTAAGTTGTAGACAACTCCTGCTGAGTTTCTCAATGTACCTTGAACTAGGTATATACTGAATTGATCACTGTGTCTTATTTGAATTGCTGGTATCAATACAATGCACCTCTGTTTGTTTTTTCGCTTGTGAAAAGAATGAAGACTCAATTTCTAGACATTAAATTACTTTCTTTAAGGACTCCTAAACTCTAAATCTAGAGTTTAGATTTAGACTCTAGACTAAATGAAAGTTTAGATTTCATAAAAATGTAAACTTTATGAAAAAAGCATTCATTATAAAAATATTTAGTGTGGACAATAAATATACCCAATTTATTCTGTTTTGTAAGTCTGAATGTTTTATATATCACATTTCTTAAAGCAGGCTACATTTTTAGAATAATGCAGTTTAAAATCATCAAAATTGTGTCTTTAAAAAGAAATAAAGTATAATGTTTTTATCCTTCACTTTCACGATTAGATTTACTACATGTCCATGGTTTTTTGTTTTTGTTTTTGTTTTTGTTTTTGTTTTTGTTTCTTGCTAATTCATGAGCAGTTCCTACTTTAACATTTAGGGGCATAAGGAAAAGTCACAGTTTCAGAAATGTCTTAACTTTGTATTTATAAATACAATTGCATTCTCATTACTCTAGGGAAATTCAGTAAGACTTGAGTGCCTTTGCTCTGTTAGGCAATTTAGAATATCCCAGACCTTGCTCTGGACATTAAGATTTTTGAAGTTCAAAGGAGATGTGTGAGGAAGAAAAAACATCTGGTGAAGAGAACTCGCTTCATTGCGTGACACTGTTTCCCAGCACTCTTTAGCAGAGCGTCTGTTTAGCAGGTTGGCAGGTTTGATAATTAATTAATGATGAGGGAATGAGCCACATATCTGAGGAACTCAGTTTTGTCCCTTACTGCTCCTTTCTTCCCCACATGTCTGGCAAAGCCCTCAGAGTCTAGGATCACTGATCCCACAGTTGTGTCTCAACTCAAACACTTGTCTTCAGGCTTAATTAGCTCAGAGATATAAACAGATGGATGGCCTGGGCCCCAGAGGGTTTAGTGTTGAGCAATGCAGTTTTATTATCAGGGACTTTTGGAATTTTTGTTGGAGAAGTGCCTCAAAACTTTAAAAAATGCCTTTTAAAAAACTCAGAATTTTGAAAGTATGTACTTGAAGGTGACAAAGTTTTATGTATATCTCTGCATATCTGTGAATTTTTCTTTTTTGTGACTTAATTCACATATAATTTCAAACTTACAGAAAAGTTGTGAGAAAAGTACAAGGGACATCCATGGTTTCTCTACCCAGATCATCCACTGTTTTTGTTTTCCCCATTTGTTTTTCCATCCTCACTCCCTCTTTCCCTTCATCTTTCCTTCAGGCGTACACACACATAGACACACACGCTCATCCATTTAGTCATGCACATATTTTTTTAAAGTATTTGAGACCAAGATGGAGATTCCAGGGGTCTTTACTCCTAATATTTCAGTGTGTATTTATTAAGAACAAGGCCATTCTTCTAAGTAATCACATACAGATACCAAAATCATGAATTTAACATTGAAACAACACTGTTATCAAATCCATAGTCCCTTTTTAAACTCCATTAATTATCTCAGTAATGTCCCTCATAACATCCCCCACCCCCTAGACCAGGGTCCAATCTAGGATGACAGGTTGCATTTAATTATCATGTCTTCTTTAAATAGAAATAGTTTGTCAACTTTCTTTGTATTTGTTGACTTTGACATTTTTGAAGAGTTCAAACCAGTTAATTAGTAGTATTCTTATATCGGATTTGTGTGCTGCTTCCTCATGCAATTCTGGTTCTGCATTTTTGGCAAGCATACCATAAAAGTATTGGCCAGTCTCAGGGTGTCTTATCAGGAGGCACATTGTGTTGATTTGTCTCTTACTTGGTGATGATGGCTTGGAATATTTGGTTAAAATGGAGTCCATCAGCTTTCTATGCAGTCAACTGACATTAAATTTTCCCTCTTTGTATTTAATAGAATTTTGTGAAGAGATTATCTTTTTTTTAAAATTTTTTATTGATTATGCTGTTACAGTTGTTCTATTCCCCCCTTCATTCCCCTCCACCCTACCCCCCTTCCCCACCATTACCCCCCCCCTTTAGTTTATGACCATGTGTCTCAAGTCCTTTAGATTCTATATATTCCCATGCTATTCTTGCCCCCCCATCTATTTTCTATCTACTGTCTATGCTACTTATTTTCTGTACCTTCTCCCCCCATCTCCTCCTCCCACTCCCCTGTTGCTAACCCTCCTTGAGATCTTCATTTCTATGTTTCCACTCCTGATCTAGCTGTCCTTTTAGTTTGCTTTTGTTTTAGGTGTGGTTCTTAATAACTGTGAGTTTGCTGTCCTTTCACTGTTCATGTTTCTTTAACTTCTTTTTCTTCGATAAGTCCCTTTAACATTTCATATAATAAGGGCTTGGTGATGATGAACTCCTTGAATTTGATCTTATCTGAGAAGCACTTGATCTGTCCTTCCATTCTAAATGAAAGTTTTGCTGGATAGAGCAATCTTGGCTGTAGGTCTTTGGATTTCATGACTTGGAATACTTCTTTCCAGCCCCTTCTTGCCTATAAGGTCTCTTTTGAGAAATCCACTGACAGTCTGATGGGGACTCCTTTGTAGGTGACTGTCCCCATAGCTCTTGCTGCTTCTAGGATTCTCTCCTTCATTTTAATTTTGGCTAATGTAATGATGATGTGCCTTGGTGTGTTCCTTCTTGGGTCCAACTTCTTTGGGACTGTCTGAGCTTCCTAGATTTCCTGGAAGTGTATTTCCTTTGCCAGATTGGGGAAATTCTCCTTTATTATTTGTTCAAATAAGTTTGCCTCTGGTACCCCTATAATTCGGATGTTGGAGCGTTTAAAGATGTCCTGGAGGTTCCTAAGACTCTCCTCATTTCTTTGAATTCTTGCTTCCTGACTCTTTTCTGTTTGGCCATTATTTGCTTTCTTCTGGTCCACTCCATTGATTTGAGTCCCAGTTTCCTTTTCATTGCTATTGGTGTCCTGTGCAATTCCATTCATTTCAATTAGTTTCGCCTTCATATATTTGTCTAATTTTTCGGTATAATCAACCAGTTCTGTGAGGATCCTGATGACCAGTGTTTTAAACTGTGCGTCTGAGAGTTTTGCTATTTCTTCATCGCTTAGATCTATGGGCTCTGGGGCTTTGAGAACTTGCGACATTTTTGGTCTGTTCTGGCCCTTTAAGTGTGAGAAGCGGTGCCTTGGACTCCCAGGTCGCTGGGTTGTGACGCTGTATGTGGGGGCGTGGTCAGAGCGGGGAAATGGCGGCGCTCTCCACCGCCACTTGCCACGGGGACCGCCGGGGCCCTGGTCCAACCGCCCACTCCCTCGCCCGTCCGCTTGCGCACAAATGGGCGACCACAGTCAACACGCAGCACCGCTTCCCCGCTGTCTCCTTCGTGGTCGTTCGCCTGGTTGCTCGCTCGGTCGCTCACTAGGTCCAACCCTGCGCCTGGATTCCGCGCCTGAGTCCATCTGACCGAGTCCTCCTGTGCAACCCCTCACCAGCCGCTGGTTTCGCCCCTTACCGGTCAGGCTGAAGAATTTGTTGTTAACGGACTTCCAAAAAGTTCAATTTTCCATTTTCTGGCTGTGTTTTCTGTTGCTGATATTTAGTTGTCTCTAAACTTGGTTGTGTGAGAAGGCACCGCACATCCACCTATGCCTCCATCTTGGCGGAAGTCCCGTGAAGAGATTATCCCGAGACCTCGGAAATAGCTTGTCTTTTTTAAAATTTTTACCAGCTAGTTTTTAGCAACCATGATGGTCTGCTAGCTCTTATTGTGTCTATATTTGTTACTTGGTGAAGTGCTGCAAGGAAGAACTTTCTCTTCTCCCCTGTTTACTTACTCATTTGTTTGCATTGGTATGAGTTTGCTGGTTCTTATCATGTTCAGTGTTGATACTTCATTACTATTATTTATTTTGGTACTTAGATGGACATAGATTTGGCCAGTGGGAGCCCCTTCAAGCTGACACCTGGTCCTTTTGTTAAGTCCTCATCATTCTTTGAGCACCTTTTTACTTTCTGGCACAACAAGGTGTTCCAGATGAATTTTATATTTTCTCTGTCCCAGCCCTGGAGTTAACATTTCTCCAAGGAATCCTTGTTCCTTTTCATGCACAATGGTATTTAGAAACCAAGATGTACGTGTTGTGTGTTTTAAAGGAAACTACGTTATGGAGTATTACATTTATTAAGTCATTGTATATTGTACGTGTGTGTGTGCGTGTATGTCTTTAATGTTACAAGTTTAAAACAGAAGAGCACTTATTTTACATATAATAATCATAAGTTTTGACAAGAAAAAATTACAATTTTCATTTCACAATAAATGGCGTTACACACTTTTGGGTACTAAATCATCTTGACATTTACGAAGGAGCAAATGGAAAGTAGGAAACTGAGTGTGTTAAGTATAAAGCTATCTTTAACTGTTCTATTAAAAAGCAAAGATTTATTTTCCATCTGTGATCTGAATGTGCCTATTTGTGTTCTCTTCCATGGCAGTGGAATTTCTGTGGAGCCACACGACAGAGAGTATGTGTGTCGGATATATGTCAGCGCAGGACGGGAAAGCCAAGGTAAGCGGGAAAACTGGGGCATAACCTGAAATCCTTGCAGCCATTGCATGAATTTCTAACAGGCTAGGGTGATACAAATGACTTTTCTCAGCCTCTCTTAGGAAGTAACTTTGTGATCTTTATGAGAATCTGATGAAGTAGAGTTGATGATTCCCAAAAAATAAACAGTAGGTCTTTTACACTTGATGATGGAGCAGAGAGGAGTAGAAAAAACTTGTTTTTCTTTGTCCACTGTGAATAATTGGAAAAGAGGAAACTGGGGTCGAGAAGAGAAAATGGGAGTGAAGCTGATGGGCTATCAGGATGAAGTGCTTTTGCAAGGAGTGTTGGAATAGATAAAGAAAACCCAGGTAAAGAAAGCCAAGTGCCTGGACTACATGCTGTACGGATGCGGGCAGAGGTGGCTGACAGGCCTGTGGGTACCACCTGGCTTGTGCTCCAGCGTGTTCTGGCACACCCTGGCGTAGTGTCCTCATAGGCAGAGTCAGGGGTCTGTCGCTGTGTGTCACGTGCCCATGGCACACGTCCCTCAGTGAGTCACAATGATCACATAGACATCCACACATCACCTCCTGAGTTGCTTGATATCCCCGCACTCATGATGGTTGAAGCTGGGAGTAAGAAACATAATTTGTGGATTTTATTACACTGGCCTCTTGTTTTTCTTTTTCATAAAGTTTTTAGAAACAGCTGTGGCATATGATCTTTACATGGCATTAAAGTAACTCATTTGTAAAGCTGTGAAGTTCAGCAGCCTCTTTTTTAAAGGGCATGATTTATTTTGCACATTTGGTAATATAAGTAAGGAAACTTCTGGTATAAACTGTCTGATAGAGGTGGCATCATAAATTAATGATACATGTAAGAGAGAATAGTTTATTGCTTATTTGTCATATAACGCCCATCCAGACTCCTGTGTACATTGTCAGCAAGCGGGTCTCTGTCACAGAAAGATCTCATCAGACAGGCAGCAATTCACATTCGTGAAACTGTTACTGAGCGCCTCTCCTCTGTGTCTCCCTCACCTTGTTCAAGATTTATATTGTATTAGTAAACTTATTTTATAAGAGAATGAATGCATAAAGATTGCTTTATTTCATAGTATTTAGAGAAGGGAATAATAACTGCCCATTTTATTTTAAAGGTGATTTATAGGTTTAGAGCAACACTGTCTAACAGAATTTTCTGTGATACTGGAAATGTTTTATATCTCTATCGTACTATCCAAAAGGATAGCCACTAGCTGCGCATGGCTATCAAGTACTTGAAATGTGGCTAGTATGCCCAAGGAAAAGAATTTTTATATTTTACTTAGTTTACTTTTAAATAACCATATGTGCCTAGTGGTACTGTATTGAATAACACGGGTGTAGGAATGAGTGGAAAATGGTTATTCAAGTGTTTTCAGTACATTCTTTTCTTCCCAATGACAAAATGGATCCAAAATATAAAATGTCCGATAAGCCATAAGAATCTTTGCACAAAGATGGTGTGCAACCATTTATGTTTTTCTCAGTCCTTACAAGTCAAAATTATTTTTTAACCAAAGAACATTGTGTGAGGTGGACTTCAGTACTGAAACCAGTCTGGTGTTGTACAATCATGTTATTAAGTCCCTTGCATGGAAATGTTCTTGTTATCCCTGCTGGTGGCCTGTGGAAGATACCTTACTATTTAACATGAAGTATGGGTGGTAGAGAGGAGAGTACTGCATTGAGCCAAAGATGTTTGGCCTCCAGTTGCATTACTTGACATCTGGTGGACATGGTTTTCATATTGCTGGTAAATTCTCCAGCTGGTAGTCTTGACTAGGCCAATAGATACAGCTGCTCCTCTTGCTTCATTTGTAAATTATGTTTTTGACCTTCTTTGCAGAAAGTTAATCCCTCTCCCTTTCTTCCTCCTTTGAGCCTGTGGCTACAAATGCTTAAAAAAAAAACAACAAACCCAAACACTAATGCTTTGGCTGCCAAATTCTATTGATCAAAAAATAAATAAATAAATAAATAAAACCCATCTCTTCTTTCATACAGGCTGGAGTTTTATTGCATTGCAAGTAAGACAAAGTTATAGATGAGAAGCTGGGCTCAAAAGACAAAGGGGACTATAACAAACTTCATATTCTTTTTGTCTATTCCCCAGTCCCCTGACTTCTATGAAAGAATTGTTGAATTAGTGGCATATCTGTTCAGCAGAATGACTGGTTTGTAAAACATGCTTTCACATAATGTTGAGAGCCATGGTAGTAAAATGAGAAAGGAAGCATCTTAAAAGCTAAAATCTAAAAAAAAAAAAAAAAAAAAAAAAAACCCAACCCAATAATTTCCAAACTATTTCTAAACAGTTTTTCTTTTCCATATTTCCTGCTTTCTAAAAATTACCTTTTGTGCTTGTTAGCAAACTCAGAAATTAAAGCCACCAGGCCATTGAAACATTTTACATAAGCTAACTGTATTTAATCTAAGTTAAAGCCTTGAATTAAAGCTGTCCTCAAAATTACACTGCTTAAAAATGCTGGATAATAATCAATATCATTATAACCAAAATTCATGTATAATTTGAGTAAATAGAGGTAGGTTCTTTTACAAGTTTCTTTTTTTTTATAGAACATTTGTTCAATTACATCATCTAATTTCTATAGCATAATTAAAGATATTTCTTTTCATTGAACAAAAATTAGGGCACTGATAACAGTTGGATTTAAAAATCAGGTGCCTATATCCTACCCAGATAGCAATTAATGAACTGTTTTAATAAATACTGAGTGTACATGGACTACTGTAATAAAAACAGATGTTAAAACTGGCATGGAACTTATTCAAGTATAATAAATGAAATGAAGGTTTCTTTTACTATGTAGAGGCCACTTTTTATAGCAATAGTGAAAAATACTATTATAAAAATTTATCCTTGGAAAGGAGCATGCTATTTTGTGGTCTTAAAATATCTCCCAACAGATTTCTTACTAGCTCCTGGAGAGAATAATAGAGAACCCAGGCAACAACTTGACTGTGTGATCAGAATTAGTGTCATCATTAAGGGGCAGATGGACATCACATGTCTCTGGATGTGATAACCTGAGAAGACACAAACATTACTTTGGTTGTAACCCATCTGGAAGTGCATAACCTGAATCTAATCACAGGGAAACATCAGACAAATCTAAAATGAGGAACATTCTGTTAAGAAAGAAAAAAGAGTAGAGTCTATACAGGTGTCCTTGAACAATGTGGGTGTGAACTATGTGGTCCACTTATATGTGGATTTAAAAAAAATAAATATAGTAAATGATTTTCTTATGATTTTCTTAATAATAACATTTTCTTTTCTCTGGCTTACTTTATTGTAAGAATATAGTATGTAACATATACATACAAAATATATGTTAATTGAGTATGTTATCAGTAAGGCTTCACTGGTAAAGTCAAAAGTAGGCCATTAGTAATTCAGTTTTTGAAGAATCAAAGTTATATACAGATTTTTGACTACATGGAATGTCGGTGCCCGTAATCCCCGTGTTGTCCAAGGGTCAACTATATTCTTAAAAATATTAATGCTATGTCCAAAACATCAAGTGCATGGTTGGAGCATTGTACCATATACCAAAAGTTTGCAGGATCGATTCCTGGTCAGGGCACATACCTAGATTGCATGTTTGATCCCTGGCTGGGGTCCACACCAAAGGCAACCAATCAATATTTCTCTCTCACATTGATGTTTTTCTCTCTCTCTCTCTCACTCAAATCAATAAACATATCCTCAAGTGAAGATTTAAAAAAAGTCAATGTGAAAAAGAAAAAGGCTGAAGAAATGTACCAGATTAAACAATACTACAGAGTATACAACTAAATACAGTACTGATTCTAGCCTGGATCGTAGCCAGGAGGAAGAATATATGCTAGAAAATATGCCAGAAAAACCTAAATTAATGAAATTGTTAGGTCAGTTTACAAAATTAGAATATAAATGGTGAAAAGTTAACACTTTTCATTGTTATATTTGTTATAACTGCACTGTGTTATGTAAGGAAATACCCCTACTCTTAGGAAATACAAATTGAAGTACCTAGGATTAAAGGGCCATTAATATATGCAGTATCTTCATGATGGTTCAGACAAAAAGTTATATGGATACACAGATGAATGGGCGGATAGCAAATTAAAAAGCAAATGGAGCAAAATGGAACCTGGGTAAAGGATGTATGGGTGTTCCTTGAACTATTCTATAGTTTTGAAATTATTCTCAAATAAAACATTAAATGTTACCCTTGGATAGTATGGCATATTTGACTAGTTATTTGACTAGTTCTTTGGGCCTTGAAGTTGAAGTGAACAAGTATTGGAATGGATATGGTGCCAGGAAGTTGGAACCTGGGTTGTCCTTCCACCCACTCACTGAGCACTGAGAGACTGACTTGGTGTGATCGCTCCGCTTCTCTGCATCTCAGTGGACTCATCTGGAAGGTGTGAATCAGAACTACCTTACCGTGCCTTAAGTCCTTCCTGGGATTCGGTATGATAGGAACAAGGAAGCAAAATCATGTGTGTCTGAGTATAGATGACAGGACCACCATTAAGTTCTTTATATATTATAGATACCTTCTCTATATTATGGATATTGTACATGTTATGCTCTTTACCCATAGGTATTTGCTTCCAATCTGCAAAACTTGAAATTCTACATGTCAGATTACATAAGCAGATAGTTGCTATTTAATTTTTCTGTAGGATTTTTATGATCCCAGTGTATCTACCATGTTTCATTTTTATGAAGATAGTTTCTGGGGCTTTAAGAAAATTCTCAGTAAATGTTCATGTAGAAGGAATAGCACAGATGAGATTTCTGGGAGCTTTTTAGGAGACTTAACTTACCTCTCAAATAAAGCCATAGGTGGAAGACTTATTTAAATACAGTCATGCACCATTTAAATCTGGGGGACATGTTGTGTAAGATGTATCTTTAGGCGATTCCATAGTTGTATATGTGTGTGTGTGTATATA